ATACTAATATTAAGTAAATCAGTCATTTCATTCATATCACGCGCACGCACGTGCATGCGTATGCGCGCAAAATGACCTTTGTTCCGCACACCTACACTACACACCTATTAACCCTAAAAAGGTTTTAGCTTAGTTGGGTGAACAGTTTCTGAGAACACTCGCGGACAAAAAAAGTCCGGAGAAGAAATAAGAAGAAAAAAGAATAACTAGTGCTAATTGTAACGGGAACCGTTACAGATGTTCCCCCAAACGCTCCCCAACTCCCCTTTGGTGCCATATTCCCTGTAAGCTTCATTAAATAAGACAAACTCTATGCATTTATGACTTTAACAACGTTTCCCTTTGAGGATACCAATTATTTTCAAATGTTAATCGCACCCGCGCGCATGTGAATGCAGGTGCGTAATGACTATATCATTTTTGTACACAATTCATAAATATTTTGATATACTATATTTGAAAGAATTTAGTCCAAAAGTATTAAAAAATCACTCATTCAAGTGTATTTTTATTATCACTAGTTCTAAATGCACGCACGTGCGTACACGTGCATGATAACCAAACCATCTTGTAGGAGTCCCTTATATCTATCTATATTCTAAATTCCATCCTGTTTGGTTGAAAAACAAGGGATTAATAGCCATTTCAAGTTTCAGCCAATCAGATTGCAGCACACGTGCATGCGCGTGATTTCATAATTTTTTTTTTTCGTTATCGTATTGTAGGACATCCTAATGAATGACTATGTTTTAAATTTCAAAACATTTCTTCAAAAAGCAAAGGAGATATAGCCCTTTCAAGTTTCAGCCAATCAGATTGCAGCACACGTTCATGCGCGTGATTTCTTGATTTTTTTTTTGTATATGATATTGCAGGATATCTTAATTCATGACTACATTCTAAATTTCAAAGCATTTCATCAAAAAACAAAGGAGATAAAGCCATTTAAATTTACAGCCAATCAGATTGACGCGCATGCGCATTCACGTGATTTCATGAAAATTTTTATATATCATGTTGTAGGATATTATAATACATGACTATGTTCTAAATTTCAAAGCATTTTGTCAAAAAACAAAAAAGATATTGAGATTTTTGTTTCAGCCAATCAGAGCGAAGTGCACGTGCATGCGCGCGAGTTCGTGCTAATTTGACAGTGTCATATTATCTACACTTGTAATATATCCTTATATAATAAGTTTCAAATCAATTCATTAAAAAAATGTAAAAAGTTGTGGCTTTATTAAATATATCAGTCATTTCACGTGTTGCACGCGCACGCACGTGCAGTCGTATGCGCGCAAAATGACCTTCGTTCCGCACACCTACACTACACACCTATTAACCCTAAAAAGGTTTTAGCTCAGTTGGGTGAACAGTTTCTGAGAACACTCGCGGACAAAAAAGTACCGGAGAACAAATAAGAAAAAAAATAATAATAATAATAAGAAACCGAGTAAAAACAATATGTTCCCAAACTCCGTTTGGGGAACATAATAATAACTAGTGCTAATTGTAACGGGGACCGTTACAGATGTTCCCCAAACGCTCCCCAACTCCCATTTGGTGCCATATTCCCTATAAGCTTCATTAAATAAGACAAACTCTACGCATTTGAGACTTTAACAACGTTTACCCAGAAGTGTACCAATTTCATTCAAATTTTAGCATTGCACGCGTGCGCACGTGAATGCATGTGCGTAATGACCATACAATCTTGTCTTTACAATCTATAGATTTTAATATACTAAATATCAAAGTATTTAATCCAAACGTATTAAAAATACGCTAATTCAAGTGTATTTTTGATTTTATTCATTTCACGTGCACGCACGTGCTCACATGAGCATGGCGACCATACTTTCTTGTCCATTACATCTATCTATGTTCTAAATCCCACCCCGTTTGGTTGAAAACCAAGGGAGTTATAGCTGTTCAAAGTTTCAGCCAATCAGATTGCAGCGCACGTGTATGCATGTGCATGGTGACCATGTCTTCTTGTAGAAGTCTATTATATCTATCCATGTTCCAAATCCCATCCTGTTTGGTTGAAAACCGAGGGAGTTATAGCTATTTAAAGCATAAGCCAATCAGATTGCAGCGCACGTGCATGCACGCGTTTTCAAAATAATTGCTATATATCTTATTGTAGGATATCCTAATGCATGCCTATATTTAAAATTTCAAAGGATTTCGTCAAAAAACAAGAAAGATATTGAGACTTTAGTTGCAGCCAATCAGAGCGAAGTGCACGTGCATGCGCGTGAGATCTTGCTATTTTCACCATGTCGTCATGTCTATACTACTAATATATCCTCACATTATGAGTTTCAAAGCATTTCATCTAAAAATAGAACAGTTGTGGCTATATCTATTATATTGGTCATTTCACGTGTTGCACGTGCACGCTCTTGCAAGCACGTGCGCGCAAAATGACCTTGATTCCGCAAATCTACATAACATGTCTACTAACCCTAAAAAGGTTTTACCTACATCGGACGAACAGTTTACAAGATCATTCCCGGACAAAAAAGTTCCAGGAAGAAGAAGAAGAAGAAAAATAATAATAACTAGTTCTAATTGTAACGGGGACCGTTACAGATGTTCCCCAAACGCTCCCCAACTCCCTTTTTGTGCCATTTTCCTGTAAGACTTTCTTGAAATATCCTCAGTATCAAAGGATTTTATCAAAGAAATATAAAAACTAGTGATATCAACTGCATATCATATACGCGCACGCACATGCATGCACATACAGGATGATCATGGCATGTTGTCCAAACTATTAACATATCTTTATATCGTGAGGAATAATAAAAATATCATAAAAATATAAATGTCACTGTTTTTAAATACATTAGTGATTTTACGTATTGCGCATGCGCACGTGCATGCATGCATGTCCTTGTATTCAATTTTGATTGTACCATAATGTAGGAATCCATTATACCTATTCATATTCTAAATTTCATCCCATTTCGTTGAGAACTTAGCAAGATATAGTCATTTAAAGTTTCAGCCAATCAGATTGCAGCACACGTGCATTCGCATGCTTTCATGATAATCCTTATATATCATGCTGTAGATCTTCATAGTGTATGACTATGTTCAAAATTTCAAAGGATTTTGTCAAAAAACAAGAAAGATATTGAGACTTTAGTTTCAGCCAATCAGAGCGAAGTGCACGTGCATGCGCGTGAGATCTTGCTATTTTGATCATGTCATCATATGTATACCAGTAATATATCTTCATATTATGAGTTTCAAAGCATTTCATCAAAAAATAGAAAAATTTAAGCTAAATCTATTATATTGGTCATTTCACCTATTGCACGTGCGCGCTCTTGCAAGCACGTGCGCGCAAATTGACCTTGATTCCGCAAATCTACATAACATGTCTACTGACCCTATAAAGGTTTTACCTACATCGGATGAACAGTTTACAAGATCATTCCCGGACAAAAAAGTACCCAGGAAGAAGAAGAAGAAGAAAAATAATAATAATAATAATAATAAGAAACAGAGTAAAAACAATATGTTCCCCAACTTCGTTTGGGGAACATAATAATAAGAAACAGAGTAAAAACAATATGTTCCCCAACTTCGTTTGGGGAACATAATAAGAAACAGAGTAAAAACAATATGTTCCCAAACTCCGTTTGGGGAACATAATAATTATCAAAATCGCTAGGGCAGAAATAATTAGACTAGGCCTCGTTATTTTAAAGTATATGCGTATAGATTTCTTTTTTTTCCAAAGAAATACTGATTGCCTGCTTGCCCAATATACGAGGGTTGTCCGGTAAAATCGTGGACAAAGCGTTTTTCTCAAAAAATAATGGACGCATTAAGCTGAAATTTTCAGTGAATATTTATTTGTAATATTTAAGTGCATCATAATTTTTTGGATAAAATAAAGACAAAAATAAAGATTTTATTATGCTTGAATGTGCACAAGGTAAGGTCCTACGGCGCACGGTCAAAACACGAAGGTTTTATTAGAGAATACACGAGTATTGATTTGCAATAAAAGATATAAATAGAAAAGATTAGGGGGAAATTATCCTTATTCGATTCCACAATTTATTTTGTCGTCTTTTTAAAAATTTCAAGGCATTTGGTTAATTTTTTGCAGTTTTCTGAGCATAATTGAGAAAGTGGTTAATACATCACACGAAAAATGGTGACATTTGATAACGTTACGGAGCACCGGAGAGCAGTTTGCTTTGATTTAGATGGTGTAATAACGCTGTAAGAAACTTTAAATGAATACAGAAGAAAAATAATCCACCCAAAATTACCAGATCTTTAGTATACAAATGAAATGGTAGTTTTCTTTGTAAAGTCTTTCTTGATCAATTCCCAGATAGTACAAAACATACGGACAAAGTGCTATCGTAATAGCAAAAGACGCTGTCACTGTTGACCGTCTATATAAGATTGTCTATTAATTGAATGATGGTGGAAATATTTTCCATAACTTACTAATAAATCCTCAGAAGATTGCAAGTTTGTGCCAGATTGGTTCATCAATTGTTTATGGAGACTAAAGTATGTGCATCAATGAAATTCCGAAATTAAGTGGGACTTATCACACCTTATTTTTAGCGCAAAGATGAAACGTGACGCTGTTTTAGACGCTTTGGCGTTATCATCTTTGCGCCGTAAGGCGACACAACACAATATATAACATAAAATCACATAATTCGTTATTTATGCATATATCTATTTGAAAATTGCTATGTTTATTTAGAAAATATGTACTAAGGAGTAGTGAAAATTTCAGAACGCAGTGATGATTATTATTTACAAGAGACAAACTGTCCAAGATTTTACCAGACAACCCTCGTATATTTGTCTATTTGACATGGTATTATCACACAACAAAATCATTAAAGAACAATGAATTTAAATGTCACTAAATTAAGAGCTAAACCGAAAGTAGAACCGAAACCAATATTTTTGAATTCGGTGTATTTGTTGATAATTATGCTAATTAGTGGAAAATGATGCTCTTTTTAATATCTTATATAGGTGTCGTTATTGTTCTTAAAATTACAGCTGCTCAGTTGAGTTTTCACTCGGTGGATTCGTGTCCAAAAAACCAAACAGAATGGGACAAAAGGCGATTAATGAAGAACTGCAAAGAGCCAGCACCTGACTACCATTGCGCTCCCATTGAGTCAAATAAGGAACAGCTTGGGGAAATCTGCTCCAATCAAGCATTAACTTTGGAAGGTATCAGTGTCACAATTAATTGAGCGAGAAAACAGCATTTAATGAATGCCAACACCAGTTCTACGTCATTGCATTCTTAAATAATCATATGAATTTCAATTTGTATCGAGATAATTTCTCTCGTTACAAATGCATTTGCTGTACTTTGATATAGAATTAAACACTTTTGATGGGGAAAAATCTGGAATTTATGGTTCTTTTTTTTTTTTTTTTTCTTTTTTTTGTTTTTTTTTTTTTTTTTTGCAAAATTTTTCATAATTTGATATCTTCTAAAAACCTCCGATAATGCATGCTGATTTTTGTCTATATATATCTGATGGCACTGTAATCTTGAAAAATTATCAGTAGGTAAGGTACCTTGCGTATGTCCTTAACTCTTACCGATTTTCTCTCTGTACGTGACTTTTTACCCTCAAGGATTTATCAGAAATTTTTCAATTTCACTTTATAAACAAAAATGCTTTATATTTACAGGATTTTGTCCAGTGATAAATGCAGTTTCTCATAATCTTGATTTCGTAGAATGTTCTACTAATGGATGCCCACAAAAGCCGTTTGTGTCCACAGAGGTTTACAAATGTGAGTGTAAACTGGCTACATATTGTGTAGAAGGTGTTCAAGGAAAAGACAAATGTTACGGTAGATCCCGCTGAATTTGATTACCTATTAAAGAAAAATCCTTTAAATAACAGTAAAACCATGAACACTCATATTTATATGGGATCAAACATCAGTAACTGTTGATTCAATATTTTCAAACTCTCACGAACAACAAAGCCATGATGTCAGTTTAATTTGGAAGCATTCTGGGCTAGTGAAGATTTGAATTTGTCAAAATTGCAACCACCAGGGCTCGAAGGCCACCATGGATGGTCTGTTTTAAATCTAAAAGAAACAAAATCTTTTCTTTTTTTTAAAAGAACAGCAAAGCCTTGATTGTTCATATTTATATATGGAAGCATTCTGCAGAAGTGAAGAATCAAATTTGTTTTTATGATGACCCAAACGGGTAGCATTGGGCAACAATGGACAATAAAAGTTTTAGAAAGGAATATATAATCTTTCACACAAGAACTGCAAAATGTTATTATTCATATTATATGGAAGCATCTTCAGGCAGTGTAGATTCAATTTTGTTCAAATCAAACCACAGGAAGATGAGGGGGATTTTCAAATCATCTTTGCAGGAACATAAATGTCATATTAGTTATTATACCCTCCGCTTGAAAAGTGGGAGGGTATATAGTAGTCGGTATGTCCGTCCGTCCGTCCGTCTGTTACGCTTTGGGGTACCCATCTCTTATCCACAACTCCTCTCATACCACCGAAGGAAATTTAATGAAACTTTCACAGAATCTTTATTACATATTGCCATTGTGCACCTCCTACTTTACCTTTTGATCTGACATATATTTTCCAGAGCAAAACGTGGATACTGCCATTATATTCATATGGGAGGCGGGGGTATTATTTAGTGAGCTCATTGCTCACAGCACCTCTAGTTTTTACTTGTAATCAATTTCTGTTTGAACTTCTATTGTGATACTGTCCTACATCCTAGAAAGAGGCAAGTAACTGGCGCATTAGTTAATAAACAAAAATATCAACAACATTTCTTGATATATTGTAAATGATTGTTTAAAAAAGTGATTCATATACATTTTTAGGTTATTTTCCTTCTCCGAGTTTTGTTGTCTATTGATTTTCCGTTTGCTTGACCATGAATGACAAGAATCACAAGGTGTGACTGATCTTCAGGTTATGCCTACTCCTCCATGGCATCTGATCCAAATTTTGATCTCTCAAACATGTGCAGAGCTGAAATTAAAGTAAATCTTAGAACATTTCAAGAGGGATAATTTTGATGTCATCTGTGCGCTGGCAAAACTTGGCAAATAACATAAGTCCTGTCCTGTTCGTTTTATTGTTTCTGTTTATTTTTCTCACAATTATGACGACTAATTTATATACTGTACCTCATGTACCACTGATGTTGGTTTGAGTGAAAGAAAGGAACATGAACTTATTAAATAAAACACATGTTATCGTAAAAATAATACATTTGTCTTAAAATGCATGTGTACTGATTTTATGCCTTTTTTTATTTAGATCCCGTATGCTTTACTAAGAAATCTCACAGCAAACAACGTCAAAATAGATGTGACAGGTGCGTTAAATTTATATAATTTCATTTTGGTTGTAACGCATCATTCTTTTGGATAAAAAATTTAATCTACATTGTATAACCTGGGTTGCCTTAGTCACAATGACTTACGTCAAAAAGATATCAATCCGCTTGACGTTGATACATTTTAAATAGGAACAATTTTAAGGCATTTGTAAGGGGGGGAATTGACTTGTTTTTCGTTCTCAATGATTGAAAATTAAATAATAATTAAGAAATGACTTCTTGGCCAAATAACTGTATTCGAGTATAACCTGGTTTGGGTCAATTTATGATTTATAATCCGCTTTGCGGATTATAAAAACATAATCTGACCCAGACAAAGTTAGACTCGAATAATTTAGCAAAGAATTAGAGGCATTCCTTATAATTTGATTTTAAAATTCCTTATAATTTAATCTTAAAATCATTAAACCATGCACTGTGGTTGCGTTTTATTAGTTCAAATTTTCCTCTCAATAAAACAACTGACACATATATAGCAGTCTTGATGATTCTTTACCGGTGGAAAGATCGAGTTACTGTTTGAAGGTACATTTACTAAACCTGGAATTTATCATGAATCCCGAGGACTGGAATTAAGAGGATTGCATAAATACAGATGATTCAGCTGTTTGTCAAAGGTGTGTGTCCCCATAACAAACCAGGTTATACAGATACAACTTTGCGTTCCTATTTTGATAATAACCAATGGGAGGCTAGAATACAAAATAGAAATAGATCTAGAATAATATAATAGATAATAATAATAATAATATAAAAATAGAATAGAAAACAAAATTAAGTAACGAATGAATTAAATAGCAACCCAAGCTATACTGAGTTGCTATACTATTATTCAGTATACATGTAACTTGGGTTGCTATAAAATCATCCTTAAATACGTGATATATACGAGGGTTGATCCAAAAGTAATGTCACTGTGTCCATATCTTTAATATTTGGTGTCATATTATCAAATATAATGCACCAAAAGATGCATAAACATAAATCTAATCAAAATTGAAAATTTCATTTAATAATGTTAAATTGAATCCATTTTATAGACGTTTAAAACATTAAACATAGGGGGTGTCGCCGCGTCATAACTAAACGTCACGTTTTAAAGCGTATATTGTTAACATAAAAAAAAAGACAAAAAGATTTAAAAAGCATCTAAAAAGCCTCTAATCGCCCAATATTTGAAAATACAACATTTACGACAAGTTTTAGTCTTTAGTTAAAAATTCAATGGCGGCATTGCTTTTTTTTCATCGTTGTTGTTTTTATCTGATGTATTGCAAAAAAGGAAATGTCGAAATTGAATAAAACGCCGAAACGAGTTGTAATGCGTTTTTCCTTCAAAATCGGGAAATCGCAAGTATAGAGACAGTTACGATAGTAAATCGGACTCGCGAGGAAAGGATGTTAACAAGAGACTTGTTCATAGATGGTTTCAGAGATTTTGGGCAGGTCATGGGTAATTAAAGTGACGAGCTGAGGACAGAAAGACCGAATGATAGGAGGTCGGGTGGAAACGTTAAATGGCGTCGACGTTGTCAAAAAAGAGATTCGTGTCACGCGGTTTGAGTGATATGATAAACTTTCAACTTTGTCTTATGGTACTGTTCAAAGAAATTGATGAAGGACTGAATTATAGATAGAGCGTACAATTGGTGCCAATAATTCTTAAAGAAAGTAAAATATGTGAATGTGTTTGTGAATATCATTTATTTTAATTAAACGATGGGGAAGCGATTTCAAAAGTGTGTGACGGCGCATATCCGTCATATGACGTTATTTAGGTGCGGCGACTACCATAATCGCACTTTGTTTATAATTCAATATTTTAAAAAGTATAAATCATTTTAGTGTGAATTTTTGAAGACTGATTTGAAATAAATATAGCTTCCATCATATATAATTTTGTTAATTTACCTCGACTAGGAGCAATTTTATCGAACTTGTGACATTACTTTTGGATCAACCCTCGTACATTGTATATATAATGTTATTTACGCTGTGTTGCTTTTATCAAGCATTGTATTTTCCTTAATTATAGTAATAATTGACTGGAAGTTTGGCTTTTCTATGGCAAGCCCTTTTACTATTTATTCGGAAAATAAATTTTATCTGAAAATTACAGAGATATCTCTCATTTTAGAGAGATATCTCTTAAAAAATAGAGATATCTCTCAACTTTAAGAGATATCTCTTATTCTTAAGAGATATCTCTAAAAGAATGAGATATCTCTCAAAGTTAGAGAGATATCTCTTATACTTTGAGAGATATCTCTTTCTCCTTAAGAGATATCCTTTTCGTGATAAGAGATATCTTTGAACGTTAAAGAGATATCTCTGATCGTTAAAGAGATATCTCTTTCAACTAGAGAGATATCTCTTTCGCGTAGAGAGATATCTCTTTCGCCTTGAGAGATATCTCTTCCACTTAGAGAGATATCTTTCTAAGTTAAAGAGATATCTCTTAAAGTAAAAGAGATATCTCTCTAAGTTTATCTTAAGAGATATCTTTCAAATTGAAAAAGATATCTTTCAAAAGGGTCTAAAAGAGATATCTCTCAAGCAAAAAGAGATATCTCTTTATTGCAAAGAGATATCTCTCTTCTTTATTTTTATTTAAATTGCATTTGAAATGACTTCTCCCTTTCCCGGAAGTAAGCTTTTTATTCATTATTTCAAAAGCTGAGAAAATTCGGTCCAGAGTCTGTAAGTCTCGTCACGTGACTCTCGAGATTTTGCCCTCACATGGTCATGATTATGGTGTCAGCATCAGCATGTTTCTGGTTTACACAACGTTTTCGGGGGGAAATTAAATAGTTTTACAAAGCTGAAGGGTTTTCCGACTTACGATGGATGAAATTCATGTCATAAAAACTTGGGTGCGAGCGTCCACCAGGAATATTTCGATCGAATTAAGGTAAACAAATCAGAGAGTGTCATCCATTTCTTGTTTATTTTGAGGGAAAATGAACAGGGGCGGATACAGGATTTGTGGTTAGGGGGGGCGTGGATAACTTTGTTGAGGCAAGGGGTCTGGGGGCCGCCTTAAAGCCCCCAGTGGGTCCAGGGCGAAGCCCTGGTAGGGGCCCGGGGGCGAAGCCCCCGGAAGCTCCTGGGTTTTGGTGTATTTTAGAGTAAAACCAGGCACAATAATATAGTGCATATTTTTCCATTATTTTTGTTAAAAGTATATAGCATATATAGGTGGGGACCCAGGGGGCGAAGCCCCGGAAGCTCCTGGTTTTTTCGTGTATTTTAGAGTAAAACCAGGCACATATTAACCAGTGCATATTTTTCAATTATTTTTGTTAAAAGTATATAGCATATAGGTGGGGGCTCAGGGGGCGAAGCCCCCGGAAGCTTCTTGGTTTTCGTGTATTTTAGAGTAAAACCAGGCACAATAATATAGTTCATATTTTTCAATTATTTTTGTTAAAAGTATATAGCATATAGGTCCGGATGTTTGAATAATAAATGTATTGAATGTTTCTGACATTCTCATTGTATTGTTACACATGCCACTATATAATAAAACGATATAATTACTTATAATTTAGTAATAGTAGTATTGGTTAGTGATGTACCAAAGTACGGCGTGTTTAATACTAGTCATATCATACTTTGAATGGTGGGGGCCCAGGGGGCGCAGCCCCCGGAAGCTCCTGGATTTTTGTATATTTTAAGAATTTTTGTGTATTTTAAGAATATAACCAGGCAGAATAACAGTTATTTGGTTAGTTTTGTACCAAAATGTAGCATTATAAATATTAGTCACATCATACTTTGAAAATTTTAGGGGGGGCGTGTGCCCCCCACGCCCCCCCTTAAATCCGCCAGTGATGAAGTGTTTTTTTCTTAACCGAATGAAATAGTTTCGAAATTATCTTTTGCCTTAATTTTTAACAGATTTCTCTTGAATCCGAGATGTTATTTTCAGCTGATTATAGAGGAGGAGTTTTGTCATGGATGGGTACCAACGTCAGTGCATCACTTTTGACACAAATGTTTGGTAAATTTTTTTTTAATATACTTTTTTTTTTCAGTAAATTTTAACCTGTCTTGTATCTGTGGATTATTTTTTTGAGCATTAAAATGTTTGTAGCAATTTAGATCTATTTCACAAGGATAAGAATGTTCATATTTTTTGCCATCTCTCCTCATAAAATAAAATTCAGATGACCATATTTCTCACTTTAGATATCGTCGGAAACCCATGGGTGATCTCATCTTTACTTATCACCCGTGGGCAAACTCGCTGAAATATCGCCGTAAAATATGCTAATTTGTTGTTTTTGTCAACCAGTCAGAAAGTTGGAACTCTTCAATTTTGAAAAATACATTTATTACTTTGCTATTTATGATTAATATTTTGACGCTCGTTAAAAACGTGCGAAGATTGATTTAAAACAGTGAAAGTCAATTCGTACAGGTCAATGACATTAATATCCATCAGATGTAGGAGTACCTCTTTCTAATTGCAAAATGCACCTGTGAGTGGATTTATTAGCTGTGTTAACTACGGGATGAGTTTTTCATGTTTTTGGCAATGCCGAACATGCATACACATGTAAATAAAGTGAGCTTTGATTCATTGTTTGGCATTGCGACTCTGTGATGCGGCCAATCAAATGAAACATGCATATTTAATTACATGCAACGATTTTTCGGCGAGATAAGTAAAGACGAGATTACCCGTACCCGTGCATTTCCTCTTAAAGTGTGAAGGAGCACGATTTTCAGGGAGGGGAATGCTCCGTGTAATTCGGAGTTAGATACCTTGTGTTATTATTACACTTTAGGTCAAAAATTTATTACAGAAGCTGCATTAATCAAACTTCAGATCACTACATTAACATGACCATATTTCTCACTTTAGAGACTGCTTTATTAAAGATTAATACTTTGGTTTTTGAATCATTTACGTCAAGGCACCAGTCAGTACAAAACTTATCGAGACAATTAAGTTTTTGTTGAAGTCCTTT